TCGCAAGTGTGTTGTAACGCACCCCTGATCAACCAATTAAAATGTAAGATCAGGTGTAACATTACACAATAAGGAAAATTCAAAACAAGCGTTTGTAACTCAAAATTTCGCATATGCAACTACCTTTTGGGTCCTAACAAAAAAAATTCCTTGCAAGATTTTACTATAAGTTAATCATTTATATATACCTTAACCTTACCTAACGCTAATCGTAATCACATAAAAAACCATTGTTTTGATTTTATGTTATACCTGATCTTATGGGATGTTACAACGCACCTGCAATAAATGATTAAATCCTTTATTTATTTTTAAAAAAGAAAAAAATCATCATTATGATTACTTATTAAACTTTGGGATTTTAAACTAACAAAATTAACATTATAGACACCTATTAAAATTCATCAAAATTGGATCCAGTTTTCTTTAACATCACATTTGCATAAATTTTATATACAATTGCATGAATTTTATATACATTTATATACTATATGCAATATATTACTTTATATGCAGTTGTGACCTTACTAACCAATCACATGTGTTTACTAATTTAACATGTTATATCTATTCATATTACTTTTTTTTAATTGCTAATACATTTTTGATTACCATTCTAACGTTTATGCCACTATTATGTAGATATAATAAATAATAAAAATTTGATATTAATGTAGATAATATAAATGCATAAATATTTATCAAAATCATGAATTTTTGTTTCAGCATGATACAATACAATATATCGTATTCATTACTAACTCTCTTTAAGAAACTCAAGCGTCTAATTTTATAACAATGCAAGTATAAGTAGAGTGCCGCTGGCGCCTTTTTTTAATTTGATGATAGTAATAAATTAAGATCCGCATTTCTTTAATTTGTGCTAAGGTTGTTTTATTAGCTTTGTGTATAATCAGTTTCATTAACATTATATCAAGTATATATGTATGTATACACGTTTATATATCGAATTTTTTGACTGTTATGGTCTGGAAAGAGACTTTTAACCTTAGTTACCGAATTTAGCTCTTGACCATAACATGCAAGGATAATTACACAGCTAATTTTGTCTTCGATTGTACATTTTATGTTTTAAGAGCACTGTGGGATTTTATGATAAACAATATACGTATTAGATTTGTTATGTTTTGGGTTTTACGATTAATTACACAGATAACTGTATTTATTTGGATGTATACTGATATGTGAAGTTTTTGCCTTGAAAATCACCGATCGGGTTAATTTAGACAAAAATCAACCTAGTAATCATCTTTAACTTTATTGATCCAATTCAATAGTTATTGAATAACTATTGAATCAAGTTAAAAGATATTTAACAAATAAACATGAACTGGTACTCGGGTTTATTTTTGACAAAGACCCCATGTAACAGATGTGTCAGATGTGTAATACAATAATTAAGGATTATTTATCTTGGTAGCTAATGAATTTTATTGTCTTTATTCATATGAAAAAAGTTATATATATAATATGTGTAGGTATTCTTTTTTTCTCTTAGTGGAAGGTGTCATTTTAAATACATTCTCTTCCATTATTCCTTGCAATTATTTCCATGTTAGAAATTAAATAATCTCTACCAACTATAATATAATTCATTGTAAAATTAAGTAATGATGTTAATCATTTATTGAATTCAGCAATAAGAAGAAATATGAAAGAAAAAATACGTTAAACTTGGCAGAGACCAGAAAATGAAGTAATTGTTCATAGAAAAATGTAACAAACAGATCAGATTGATTTTGTTAGATGACAAAATTTTCCCACGACAAATTCTTCAATATATATTCATATATTCGTAATTCAATTTATATGATCATCTGATCAGGACAATTACCTCATAATTACAATTAAGATAATTTTCATTTTGCTCTCACATGAATGAAATGATTGGTAAAAATGTATAGGACACTCGTGACAGGCGATTAATTTTATTATAAGAGGGATGAAGGATATTTACTTGAGTATGATCATAAAAATAGAAAATTAACAAATACAAAATAATGAAAAGAACCAATAAATTAATATTCTTCATTAACTATTCCACATAAAAGATGCCTAAGCTCATTTCTTTGCTTTTCAGTTATTACTATAGATTCAATTTTGAGCTGATACTTAGTTTTCATTTTTAAATATAATATAACTATATAGATAATGCATTTTTAACAATATCCTGGGTGGAGGCTTCAAGTGTTATTTTCCTATCGCTATCCTCTTTGACTGATGTTTTACACTTATAACCTTTTTTCTTATTTTTGTTAGCTTTTTTTTTCATCTTCGATAAGATGACATTTACCAATTATATAAATGGAAATGATTGCAATAAAAATAGGCATATAAAGCAAAGGAAACATAATAAAATTAATAACCACAATTATGTAGCTGCATATTTCAGATTTTCTTGAAGATTCACTTCCCAAAAGTCGTATTTTAAAATCTTCTACAAGAACCTTTGTCAATTTCAACAGAATGCTAGTTTTAAAATTATTTTTAAAGTCATGTCTTTCATTCTTATTTCCAAAGAATCTTACTTTGTATTTCCACCTATTTTCATCGTTTCCAAAAAAAGTTACCCAATCATATTTATATTCTATATAACTTTGGTTTTTTTTATCCTCTTTCTGATCCATTTTTTGTTTATCCTCTTTCAGATATGTTTTTTCATCAAAATTTTTCCATTCATCATTATCTCCCTGGCGTTCAGTTTTTTTTTGTCTATCTTCATTACCACAAGTTACCTCATCCTTATTATCACAAGTTATCTCATCCTTATTATCACAAGTTATCACTTTCTTATTATCACAAGTTATTTCGCAAGTTGTTCCATTTTCATTATTATGATTATCAAATATCTTAATTAAATATAATCTCTTCGTTAAGCAATAATAAATTGCTATATTTAATATAACTATTTCTATCATGGGCTTTAAGAAAAAAAATTTTTAAAAAAAAGGAAATTCCAAAAAATTTTTTAGAAGGTACTATAGAAAAATTTAACATTTTCTTAATCTCCCATTCACATAAAAGTAATATTATATTGCCTAACCATAAACAACCAATAATAATAATACTTGTTGCTAAGATAAAATCGTCATATACGGTGGTCTTGGAATAATCTTAATATTAATCAAAATCGAGAAAATAGATGTAATAACAATATATAAAGACACTAAAATAATAAATGTTACAGCAGT